CCAGCTCACAAAGAATGACTGATGTTACTAGAGGACAGGAAGCACTTTTAATAAAAAACAACAACAACAACAACTGAATATCTTGAGTACGTACATTCCCCAAAGCTCTCTCCACAATAGCTGTGATGGTGAGGAGAGCAACCAAGTGATCTCCAGAAGTGCTTTCCTTTGAAATTTGCTTTATGGTCAGGTGTATATCCTTTTCCTGAAATTATGGTGCATATCAAGTATATCTCCTTGAAACTTATATCAATACACTTGTATGATCACGAAATGCATTTATCATTTTCAGAATATAATAAACCCAATGCCACCAGGAAAATGTCGTGCTCGCTCTCTTGCTCTCTCGCTCGCTCTCTCTCTCTCTCTCTCTCTCTCTCTCTCTCTCTCTCTCTCTCTCTCTCTCTCTCTCTCTCTCTCTCTCTCTCTCTCTCTCTCTCTTTCTTTTTTTTTTTTTTTTTTTTTTTGTGTGTGTGTGTGTGTGTGTGTGTGTGTGTGTGTGTGTGTGTGTGTGTGTGTGTGTGTGTGTGTGTGTGTGTGTGTGTGTGTGTGTGTGGAATGTTTCTGCACATAGATGGCTCTGTTAGTGCTTAGCCACAAAGGAGTCAATTAGTAAACCTTGTGACCTTACCTGATTTCACCTTTCCTTGAATTGGTGGGATTTTTTTTTTTTTTTACTGATACTATGAATATCGATGGCATTGTTTTTATTATAGACATTATAATTACTATAATGTTACAAACATTAGTAACAGCAAAATAACATAACGTAAAATATTTTCGAAAATCAAGGAAAAGGGTAAACGGGGGAGACAGGCAGTACTCTTAATTGGCTCATTGGTGACTTAGTACAAGTGTAGCCAACTATGTGTAAAAACAATTATTAAAGTAAACTCACAGTGGGCATGAATTCATACATGCCATGCCTGGTGGCATTGGGTTAACAACGCCCAACACTATTAATGTCTAGCTTTAATGTTTCTTTCCACTTATTTTCCTAAATTCATCACTCAATAAAAAATATATGAATTCACTGCACTTGTAAAATATTAAATCATAAAGTTTCTTGATGAAAGTAACACAAAAGCATAACTACTTTACCTGATGTGTCCACTCTAGAAATGGTTTAAGTAAAGCATCATATGCTGCAGGATACACATTCTGGAGCATATGGTAACACTCCCTGAATAAGGGAGGTACCTGCTTGATAGCGTCAAAGAACCAAGCCTTACTTCCATTTTCTTCTTTGATATCTGTGAGGTGTAAGAAAAAAAAAATTAAACAAATTTTAACAGGAAAGTTACATCAACCATAAAGCAACTCAATGCTACTGGTATTAGAAGTACTTACTAATTAACAAGTCAATAATTATATCATATGAATTAAGGTTTACTAAAAGGTTTACCTTCCCTTCACACACTCACACATGCATGCCCACACACACACAAAACACACACAGAACAGCAGGAGGTGGAACTGCCTCCACTTTAGTAATGGATGATATGTTGAGTGGTGTAATCTAATTTTTGAAATTAATAAACATAACATCTATCTTTATAAATTTTGACAAACTGATAAATGCATAAATATATATGTACATATGATATAAAAGGCGAGAACCAAATAAAGTCAAATTAGGAGTGGCTATGCCCAAATCTTACTTCTCTTACCTAATCCATACAAATGTCAGTGAACAGAAATAGTGTTTTTTACTTCAATTATGTGTCTAGTTCATACAGGACTCCCTCTGGAAAGTTTGGAAGGCACAGTGGGATCACTCACTCCTCCCAACAAATGGTGCCCCTTGTCTGTCCTTGCAATCAATATAATGTTAGTAAGTTTGAACCTACTGTCAAAAACATCCTCCAACTTTTCCCATGCTATCCCAGTGTCACGATCAATCCAGCTGTAATCAGCACCACTGGGTATCTGGGTGAGGTCTGGGGTTACTGTTTCGATGAACTTCTTCACTTCAGTAGACAGAAAAGTGTCCTGTGATTTGATCCAAAGCAGGATCATCACTGCACTTTTAATCTGAAAATAATATAAATATTTAAACATATGCAAAGATTCACAAATATAAGTACACACACACAAATACACACACACACACACACACACACACACACACACACACACACACACACACACACACACACACACACACACACACACACACACACACACACACCATCATCATCATCACAGTGCAATACTTATATTTGTTCACATTTACTCTGTTGACCCTTACTTTCTTGATTGTTCAAGTTAGCTCCACTATGCAAATATATTTGAACCTTGGCCTGTCAAAGTAACCAATGCTAATTGCTACTTACTTTTCAACATTTACTTTGATTACTAAGTTCTCTCAAGAATGCAAATTATGACCCAAAGGAATATTCTATTGTATGTGCTTCGTAATAACCACTGAATCCATCAAGATAACCTTTAAAAATAATAATAATAATAATAATAATAATAATAATAATAATTTCAACCAAACTAAACGGTAGGAATCTGACTTACCTACTTTAGAAGTACCAATTGTTAGTTAATCTAATTTGGTCTTTGGAATAAAGGAAGTGACCTTGTCCTTGCTAGGAAGTTCGGGGCGTAATACCAGAATGCTCTTTGTAAAATATCTCCTAAACAAAACTGAATTGTTTTTCCTAGCATAAACCTACGATAATTTCCATAAAATACGCTTCACCTAATGAACTTCTCAAACCTAATGATTACAACATGAATAACAAGAGGTCAAACTGGTTATATTACAAAGTAGATATTGCATTGTTTTACCACGATGTCTGCAAGGAAGGTTATTTCTCATTATTGCAATTTGCTGTCAAGGAGAAGCACGACGACCACAACAACCAAACATGTGCCGACGTGTTTCGTGCGAACTGCGTGAAATTATATTCGCTGAGGTGTAATATTTCACAAAGTTTCGTGTAATGTGGTAGGATTTACATTCACATTCATGAAATTAGTAAATAGTATGGAGTTCGGCTGTAAAACGCAAAGGATAGAGTCCATTACATCATAAAGAGGGTATCATTACGGAATTATTTGTGTTTAGAGGTAGACTAACTAATA